TTTTGCCTTTACACTTGAAAGAGGTGTTCACAATTTTATCTTTATATTTTAAAATAGAATGTATACACAAAATTTAAGTATAAGTTTAAAACTCAGTTCTAACCCAGACCCTTCACTAGCACATTGAAAGTTTCATCCATTGAAGAACAAAGGGAATGTTTGAGCACAAAATATTGTAATTTTGACTGGAAATTTCAGAATGTGGCCTTTCCAAGGTGAAGAAGAGAACTGGAGTCTGATATTCAGCATTTTGACTCTGCAGATGAGTTTTTTTTCTTGCAAGTAGCCATGAGAATAGGAAGTTAGAAGGCAGAGCCAGGAGGTCAGACATAAGAGTCAAGGAAGTATGAATGACATCATCATCCCTAAGTACCCTCTCAGAAGATGAATGAGCTCTCTCTTGTATTACAACGCTAAAGAGCATTAGAAGGTGATATGATATCTAGACAACACATAAGATAAATGCCTCAGAGTATGCTGGAACAGCTTCCCCCCCACGCCCTCCACAAGTACATAAATCCTTTGGTGGTCTCAATAATACAATATGTGGCTGATGAGTATTATACATTGTGGTCAACTTCTTCTTGACAAAATTCATTTAGATTAAACAAGTACCTTGAGCGTTATCTAATTTAGTTACTTAAGCCAAATAACTCAGTGTAACTCTAGACACACTTTAGCTGACTAGACTCACAGCCCTTTTGGGACACAGAGCAGATTTTTTTCACTAGTTGACAAATAAAAAGTAAGCAGATGTCAAGAGAAGAAATATCGCATCTTTTTTAAAGCTGGTACAAAATGTGTTTATTGTAATAAAACTTGACACAAAATGTTTTCATCATGGTAAAATTTGAAATGCAAGTTTCATGATCTTAATGAATTCCTTCTGAAGGGAATGCATGGCACAAACAAAACATGCAAAGTTGCTGTAATTTTGGTCCAAGATATGTTCTGTCAGAAGTGGATTTGATCTGAATTTCAGTTTTTGTGCTTCAAAAGCACAGTGACTCTGGTATGATTTATATAATCTTTTCTACAGTAATTTTTGGAATATGTGAAGTTGTAGCAGACTTCCCTACCCAGCCTCCTTTTTTGCTTATGTAAAACACCCTTAGTAATTTCAGGAGGAAAATGTTATTAAAGTATTTGATTGCATTCCTGTTTCAAAAATTAAAAAAGTAAAAATCCCTCACTAGAAAGTCAGCTTCAGTTTGGAATAAAAATAGACTCTGGATCTATGATGTATAGTGGGATGGAGGGCAGAGTTCTGATGCATCAGATTTAATCACTACAGTAATCTCTCCTCTTTTCAATATTTTCTCAAGTGTTATTTTTATAGAAATAAAATGATGCTCATTTGAAATAATATGCAAGACAAGATGACCCCTGCTTTAGTTCTAAATGCTGCAAAGTCCTTTATTCTAAACCAAAAGCTGTCAGACTTTTGGCATTAATAGAAGAGTGGATCTTTCTTGACAAATGTCCCCATAAATTAGATATTAGCTTTAGTCAAACTCTGTCTCTCTCAGGAAATATTTCCACTTGCATATTCAATTGGAAGGACCTTACATGATGCCCACTTACTGCTATGAAAATCTAGGCTTCTGAGATGAAGGCAAAGAAAAATTTCTGTGAACAAAAGAATGTCTAGAATAACAGACCTTGAGCTTATGCAGAGATTTCTTATTATAGAATGTGAGTTTCACTCACTTTTTGATATGTCTGTCTGCTGCTCTGTCCACCTCTCTATCTATTTATCTATCACCATTGCAGTGGTGACATGCAGTATCAATCGGATTTTAAAAGACATAGATCTTTTATATTAGCTGTCCTTTTTTATAATACCTTTTACAAATTTAATCAATGCATTTTAATATACAATATAGTTTAAGTGCAATATACAATAAATATTTGAGCTTCATCTTAAACATGCTCTAGCCTTTAAATTGTTAAAACTGCAGTGCCCTTTCAATCTACTTACATAATGTCATAAAATATACATTTCAAGGTAAATGAAGTCAGCTACTTCAATTTAGTCCCTCAAACTGGTAGTAAATGAGAGGTTAACACTATGGTGCCAAACCCATTATTGAGTAAATTTAGCACCTTGGACAGCTCTGTAAAATCTTTATTGCTTTCCTGACCTGCTCGTCATGTTCTGTCTATGTGTTCAGTGGCTCTCAGCTCTGATTGAAAGGCAATATATTAGATCCCGAACACAAACATGCTCGGGGGCTGCTTCACTGTGAGCGTAATGACATGGAGGTGAGAACAATTTTCTGGTCACCGCAATCCAAGCACCTTGCAAGGTCTGTTGCTCTAACTTATAGAGGACTTTGGGGGCTCCTTTGTATGTGGAGTCGTAACAGTCGCTTCTATGGTAATTTAAGCAGAGCTGCAAAGGGTTTAAGATGCATTCAGAAAACAAGAAGTTAATATCTCGACCATGTCTGTAGTAGCATTTTATTGTGTGTTTTTAAAGCTAGTTTGTGTCTATAAGAACTACGGTCATCTCTGGAATAGAAGATACCACTATTTGACACAGGAGTTTTTGTGTAACATCTACCTTATATGATCTGAAAGTGTCATAAACAAGAAATACTTCTATTGTGTGAAAATATTGTTAGAGAAAGTATGAAACTCAAATCTAGAGACACTGAAAATGTTGAAAAAAACATAGCCATTGACTAGCTGGGAAAATTGAATGCTACTTGTCAAGCATATTTTGATAAACCATCATGACAATTAGTTTTATTTACATGCAATATGATACAGCATCAAAGAAATTCCAATGTTTAAGAACTGAAATATATTTGATACTAGGTAGAGCAGCAGTAAGATTCTGTGTAATTACCTCATTTTTTAACACGGTCTTCAATCTCTTTTTACATGCATTCTAGGGTTTTTTCGCTCAGCATTACATAAATAACTATGATTAGTCAGGTAAAGCAGAAATGACTATTTAAAATTTCTCTTTTTTTAGTAATGTGGCATAATGACAGCTTAGGTTAACAATATTCCAAAGCAGTTTGTGGGCTCTGTATCACATTCTAATTTTCCATCAGTGAAATATACAGTGCAAACAATTTCTACTGAAGTGAAATAAATCCTAGTTTGCAAAGTCAAACACCTGTGCAGTAATTTTCCACCTAAAATCATGGATTGAAAAAGATAACATTTTTCAGTAACATATCTGTTCTTCTCTTGTTTGTATCTTCAATATAAGGCAAAACCAGCAACTCAGTGTTCTGATGATTCTGGTAAAGCAACAAGGACTGACTGTACCTGGATATTGTTTGTAGTCTGTCTGTCCATCATTATATTGCTAACTGCTGTGGTCAAACTACACACAAAAAATCCCCCCAAAATAAACAAACCCGAGAGAATGACTACAACAGAAATAAATAAATAAATAAATAAATAAATACCAAAAAACCTGAAAAAGGCTGTAGCAACTTAACTCCTCCGAATCTGTTTCAAATGTAGTGATTTAAAAATCCATCAATTATATATTACCTCTCACTTCATATCTGGAAAATAATTTAAATGTGTGTTCTGAGAGAGGGGTGTATGCAGCAGAAGGCAAGCCTAAATGTTTACTGGGAGTACAAAAATCCTCCATCTCATTTTTGAATTTAGGACATTATATATGTCATAAGTAGTTACTGCAGTATGACAACTATTTTATCTTATATTATAGAGAATTTAAAATTGAAAAAAATGCTAATATGCATCTAAAAGCTTGTCATTTGAAGAGTTGTTCAAGGATTTTTGAAGAGGTTATGGTGACAGCAAAATGAACGCAATTATATCTCTATTTTCTGATCAGAGTCTACAGTATATGAAAATTGAGCATTACTGTTTCTTTTTGGTATAAAATATGGCTATTGTGTAAAATATTTTAAGTTGAAAAGTTTAACTTTGTAGCAAACTGTAAAATCCTTATAACTGGTACTATTTTTGTAAGCTACCTACAAAAATATACCGTGGTGAATAGCATCATGTTAGTATATTAGAGCAATACGTAAGGGCTGGGAATTACAAAATGTATTGTTTTATTTAAAGGACAGTCTCGGCTGGTTTTGATCGGGCATTTGGGAATCTGCTAGATGCTTTGAAAGAAAAAGGAAAAAAAAATATCTTCTGGGTTAATTCTGCAATGCATTTTTACATTTTCTATCAGGGTTGTTCATAGAGATTTTTCCACAGTGTAAAATGTAAGAACACAGGAAATACTATTATTACTTGAATGCTAGTTTAAAATACTCTAAGAAATATTAAGGGAAAAATGACAAATAGGAAAATGGAGAAAAAAAAAATTGCCCAAAATGGAGAATTCAATCCCAGACTGTTTTAAATTCTGCTGTCTGTGCAGGGAATTTTTCCAGGAAACATTGCACTGTGCTGGCCCGTTCTCTCATACTGCATATGTTTTCCTCTTGTGCATCATTTTATGTACATGAATCCTACCCTGACCCATCATATCAGGGTACAAACCAGAGGAGTTGAAAGGTTACAGTACCAGTAGCATAAGACTGATTGGATATCCTTTGAACGTGGCCTGCCAGGTAAGGTCACAATTCCTGCAGTATGCAATTAAGAATAAAATAAACACATCGAAGGGATTCATAACATGCTCTGAATGACATTGATTGCAGTAATCTAGTAAATGACCTCAGGATTGTATTCTGCAATAAACTGATGAGTGGTTTATAGTGCAGATGGTAGAGACGATTGAGTGATGTATTTTATTTTGCAGCACCAATGATTCTCACCTTTTGACTTGATTAAGCGTATGTGTGAATAGGATGAACTAGTGATTTAACACCATTCAGTGGTTGCTGAGAGTTGTTACAATTAAGGTGTACCTGGTGGGAGGAAAAAAAAACACTACAAAACATGATGCAACTAATAGAAGAGTATAAAAGATTCTAATATTTGTTTTCCCCCACAAGGAGTTTATTGAACTCAGAGGAATGCATCTGTTTTTATATTGACAGGAAGTAATACTTAAGAGGGCTGCTGATTTAGTAGAAGCACTCTATGGTATGCCACATAATAACCAGGTAAATGCATTTACTTCAGCAATTCTAAAGCATGGCTATTCCTTAGATGTATAGACAGATCAGGGGCTAAAGGTATATGATACTACAATGTGAGACAAGAATAAATATAGAGGGCAATGTTGTATCTGGAGTGGGGTTTGGTTTGCTTGTTTTCTTTTTTAAAGGGCGTGAATTTAGTGCTTATAAAAGCAACGTGTTATTAACCCTGGAGGCATTTGCCCACATTCACCAGATACTATATCATATGGGCAATGATGTGCATTATGCCTTGCCACCAATGATTTTTCAGTCTTACCCTGAAGAGTAAGGTGGAGTAAATCTAGGCTCCGGCCCCATTCTGCCAGTTGGTCTTGTTATACAGAGCGTGGCCGCTGGGACTGAAACTTCCAGCTCTCTTACCACAGATGTCAGGATTTATCATGAGGGCAGCAAATCTTATAAGCATTAGCTATCAGTCCGCCAACTGGTTTAGAAAGAAAAGCATCTAGTTTTTGCCTTTGGATGGGGAAGTGTTTCATTTTAGTGTGTAAGAAAATGTTTGTCAGAGTTCACATTGGTAACTCTTTTATTCTTTTTTCGCCCCCCCTTCTTATCCTCTAGGAAATAATCCTGAAAAGAGCAGCAGACATCGCAGAAGCACTCTACAGTGTCCCCCGCAATCACAACCAGCTCCCCGCCCTTGCTAACACGTCAGTCCATGCGGGAATGATGGGAGTGAATTCCTTTAGTGGTCAACTAGCTGTCAATGTTTCCGAAGCCTCACAAGCCACCAATCAGGGTCAGGAGAAGACTCGTCTTCCTCTCTCTATGAACCTTTTCTGATAAAAGTCAGGGAAATGTGCAGAGCAGTGAAAGAGGGATGGTTCAAACCTGAAGGCTAGGAGCATGTCCAGACAGACACACGCCCAGCCTTTGAATGACACAACACTGTCATGAGATGGGGCTTGCTTTAGTGACTTTTACCCCAATTCAGGAAAAGCACTTCTGCATGTATCTAAATAGCTTTTTCTTCTGCTCAGAGTAACACTTGTAGTTGTATTTAAATCCCACTAATTTTAAAAGGATGTCTATCGACTTGAGCACGTACTTAATGTTAAGGACTTGCTGATATATTTTCATAAGCAAGGATGATCTCTCAGTCTGGACCCTATGTAGAATTTTTTTATAGCACAAAAGTATCCCTTGAATATTTGTCCATTTGGTTTGATTTTGCAAGAGACATAATATTGGAGCTGATTTATTTTCAGAGTTTGAGACTTTTCTAAATTTTGAAACTAGCAAAAAATAGAAATAGTTGCAAAGACATTTTCAGAGCTTCTCTAATTTTTAGAACAAAGTGGTTTTCACTTTGTATAAAATCAATATTGTTTTAATTCCTACAGTGAAAAATATAAAAAAAAGAAGAATATTTTTGTAAAAACACTTTGCACATTCCCCTCTCCTTTGCTCAGCTCTATTTATTATCCAACTTTAAAATCCACTTTAATGAGAAAGTAATAGAATGAGGTTGTTTTGTAGGAGGGCAAGCAAAATTATTTTGCATTACACTAAAAAAATATAAATTATTTTTAGATTAGAATATTTTATGGATATACTGTGTGGTAGGAAGGAAATTGGCATTTTTTCTTCTAGGAGTGAAGATGCATTTTGCACTTTTGTGCTTCTAGAAACAAACCTTCCTTTTTGGATATTTGGATATGAATTTCCCCAAATGCCATTTCCAGAAATAGGTAGACACTCCATTTTTAACTTGGTGTCAAATTTGATGGTCATTTTCTGCCAACATAATGATCAGACCAGGGCAAAAAGACTTTTCTAAAGTGTGCAGTGAGCATCTAATTTGAGATGCGTTAACTGAGAGCAACATCAGAAGAGACTTAACAAAAATCACATGCTTTTACCATACCTTAAGTTGGTATTTGCTCCTCACTTTGAAAATGTAGATCATGTTTACTCCATTTCCTACAAACAACTCTAAAAGAGTGAGTGTTCCTGTAATACCCAATGGTAATCTTTGATAGAGGGCATGGGTTGCCTGAGGAGCTGTGAAGGCTGCAGCCTTCCACCTCCAACTTTGTGCTTCCATCAGCAATGACCAAGGTGATGAGGGTTCACAATTTGGGTTACCTGGTGGTAGTGGTGGTCAGTCCTGGCTGTCTCCATGCCCACCATGGCTGGACTAGGCTGCTGGCTTTGTAGCCCAGAGTTACTTGCTTGTAGCTGTTTGTGTAACAAACTGTTCTCAGACTAATACCAATTTCTAAATGTATTCCCTCCCCACAAAAGGTTTTACTCGCAACTCAAGCAGCGTGTCACCTCATGGCTATGTGCCAAGCACCACCCCTCAGCAGACAAATTATAACTCTGTCACAACAAGCATGAATGGCTATGGGAATGCTGGAATGTCAAATTTAGGTGGTTCTCCAACCTTCCTGAATGGATCTGCTGCCAATTCTCCCTATGCCAGTGAGTATTCTATGGCTTTTCTGCATTTTGCACATTTTCATTAGAAGGAGATGGTGACTTTTCTGTGACATTCAATATTTAGTTTCTATTTTGAGCACTTGAAACAGAGCTTGGTCCTTTTTCTCCTCTCCAAGGCACTGACCTTTGAAGCACTTTTAAGACATTACTGTGCCAGTAATGCTTTTCTCATTATTATTATTATTATTATTATTAATATGGAGTCTCATAAGAGCTTTAAAAAAATAATGTCTCTCATAGTAACTTACCTTATACTCTATAAATAAGAAGTGCTGTCCTCTGCATTGCTAGAAAGCAGAGACGGTCTCGGTGACCGTTGGAGTGGATCAAAAGCCAGTTGTCAATACACAACTTTTTGTTGCAGTGGGTGTTGAAGGAAGCTAAAGATATTTGCTGCAGCAAAAATAGTTTTTTCCATCTGTAAGATATGAAGGGCAGAAAAGTTTACTGTAATAAGGCTGACATTTCCATAAGTTGCATGATGGTGTTTCCGAGACCTCTGAGCAAATAATACGTTCATAACCTTTATAGAAATTATGAATTACTATTGGGCCTAATCTTGATTGCTTATACTCCATTTGCTTTGTAAGTAGGTATTATATTGACTTCACTGAGAGCTCAGTATTAGTCAGTAAAATGTGACAATGACTCTTAGAGTTTGTGTTTTAGTGTCTGTACAGTGAATGCCACAAAGATGTAAGTCATACAAATCATATATTCCATGGTGTAAAGAGCTTATGGTTTACAGTCCCAGTTACGGAAATATTTATGCATAGGATTAACTTTTTGCGTTTTGATATTAAAGGTTTAGAAACCTGTTTAAATATAAACACATTTCTATTGGTAAAGGCCTATGAACCTCTTCTGCAGCCACTCACACAGCTCAGTAGTCCCTATGCACATGAGAAAATTAAATGAATAGGACCTGCCCGATTCCTTTGACGTTACTCACATGGCGTAAAGGATTCCACTGACATCGGTAGAAAGCTGCTAGCAGAATCAGGCTAGAGGTCCTGTCATATAAGTAGCTTTATAGGCAGAGACCCTAGCATGGACAGGACAAATGGACTCCTGGACATGCCATGGCTTACACAGTGCATCTTAAGTTTAGTGGTATAACAGCTGTAATGAATTATTTTGAATTGCATTGCTGGAGTTCAGAATTAAAAAGAGGGTAGTAACCCTGAATTATGAAGGAGACTGCAACTCTGATTTAAAAAATTTCCTCCGAGGCTTCTTAGCTGCTGCAAATTTAGAAGAAAATATTTACCCACATAACGAGTACTTATAACCTGGGAATTGCTAACCAGTTATTATTTTTGTACTCTAATAATAATGTAACAAGTAATGTTACAAAGTACCTTACTTATTAAGTTGAATTTACTGTCATAGAATCTGTGCACTCTGAATTCATAATATAACATGATTGATGAGACATCTCTTTTTGGAAGCAGATGCCAGTAATGCATTTAAAATACTCTAGCAGTGTATTATTTCATATTTATGAACGAAGTCCTCTTAAGAATAGCATTTCACAGCCCTGGTTCTCTATTCTGGTTATATTTTGGGAGGTTTTCTTGGTAGATCTGTCATTCTGCTAATGCCTAATCCATTGAATCAGAAAATGCTTCAATCATGACCTGAAAATTAAAAGGTGGCATTCTTAATTAAATCAATAAACTAATTGCTGTATAGTAGCAATTCAATTTAGGTGCTTTGATTGCTCTCCCTTAGCAAGTACTTCCAGACATAGAGTGACTTCAGACTAAGATTGTATCTGTCAGACTGTGAAACTTTGAACATTTAATTTCCATTAATTGATTTCCTCAGTGTTAACAAATATGATATCAGATTCTCAAATAAGAACTTAAATAGGGTGATTTTTATCTACATAAATGCAAATAAAATAATAATTCAAAGACCAGATGATACAAATTTTACTCTATAATATGTAATTATTCATAGCCCCCTTGTGTATATAAGCAGTTTCTAAACAGGATGAAGAATGAAAGTATTGGTCCTTTCCTTTTTTTTGGTGGGTAAGAGGAGAAGGAGGCAATGCTGTCTGAATATAAAAATAGTTGGCTTTATTTTTATGAAAACAAATTGACTTAAAACCTCAATGGTACCTCAATGGTAAATACATGAACCAAAGATATTTATCCCACTATATAGTAAAATAATGATTAAGGATATATGTATTTTAAAACTTAACCTCCTATTTAGCAGGTTTGCATTTGGACTATCAGTTCAGTCCCTAAAAAAAGGAGAGCCTTATGTCTACACTTATTTAGAAAAACTGAAAAATCTCATTTTATTCAGTCTTGTACTTAAAGCCAGATCCTCATTTGATGTAAAGCAGAATGGCTTCATTGCTTAGCTATTCCAGCGGAGGTTCCAGTCGATGGCTCTGAATGAGAATGTTGTATTGACTGTATTCAGATGGTGGTCATAGATCCTCTGGGAAAATTATTTGTCCTGACCATTATAAAGCAGACTTTCATTTTCAAAATTCTTCATCGTCTGTGAGATATGAAATACCATCCCCATTCCTGTGCATAAATAAAATGGTCATGTGAGAAATAGGACTGCTTTTCATGTCCCTGAGAATTCCTGGGAAGTCCTCACAGCAGAAATTTTACCAAAGGTGATGGACACAGGGTCACTGGAGGCTGACTTGGTAACAGAGAAGTCCTCTGTGGCCATTGTGAGACAGGTTTAGTGGTTTCTTCTGTTGGGAGATAAAATAAAATCATAATTTGTGTCAGTTATCCACACATGTTTTTTTGTGCAACAGACACTAAGAACAGAAGTGCCATGAGACGAAAGGAATAAAAACCTGTCAGAGTGGCCATCTCACTGATTGCTTCATGCTGGACAGCCTCCATGTGTATATATATATAATATTCATAGCTTTCTGAACAACTCCTTTGAAACCCTAGTTCTTGCAGGGTTTGAGAGAGGAAAGAAACTCAACCATTTTTTCTGACATTTGACAAAAAGGTTGACTGGATCACCACTAAGAGCTCTCCACTTTCTGCAAGTTTGCTTGAAACCCCGTAGGTCTTCCTGGAGCCATCTTGCTACTGGGAAAGCATGGCTTTAAATGCTGGTTTTGGAGGCCAGTTAAAAACTCAAAGCTTCCTGAGTTAAAAATTCCAGATGCACAATTGTAGTTTAACCACTCATTTTTCCCATCAGTTTTTTAACCCCTGAGTTATCTACACAGGCTGGATTCCCTCTTATCCATCTATACAAAAACATCACAAATTAGGACCAGGGCAGTGGCTAATGCCCATCAAGAGAAGTTTGAAACAGGATATCAGGACAGGGTTGTTTTAAGAATAAAAAGTTTCAGTGGCAGAGAATGAAGGGAGTTTTTAAGAGCTCCTGGAATTACTGCTCCTGAACACCTGCAAAACAAACAAAACAAAACAACAAGTGGGTTTCCTTTAGTGATTGATCACACTTTGTGAGTAACCAGAAATTTAACTGCAGTAAAGGCATTTGAAATCAGACCCAGTGCATCCAAGAAGCAGAATTCTTTTGTTTCTGCAGCCTGATGATTATCTAATACTAAGGATTGCCTTTTGCGGGGTCTTTTTTTCCTCTAGTTGTGCCATCAAGTCCAACAATGGCCTCCTCCACTAGCCTCCCCTCAAACTGTAGCAGTTCCTCTGGGATTTTCTCCTTCTCACCAGCCAACATGGTCTCAGCGGTGAAACAGAAGAGTGCTTTTGCGCCTGTCGTGAGACCGCAAACTTCTCCTCCTCCCACCTGCACCAGCACCAATGGCAATAGCCTGCAAGGTAGGTGAAACCAAGTCTGGAGCGTAGATGGATTCTCTCAAAACCATGAGTTCCCAGCACCTTGCGAGGCTCTAAGTGACACTGAGTTGTCAAAGGGGATAGAAGACAATGGGGCATCCCTGGTGGTCTCTGTCCTAAAGCTTCCTCCTGTAAAGAGTAACTGACTCCACCACCAGCCCACATAGTACTGTGCAGGTGTTTGGCAACCACCCTGTCTCTAACTCGACTAATACTGCTGAATTGAGAGGCTGTGTCTTATAAAGCACAGACCTACTGTTATGATAAAAAACGAGTAATATTTCAGCTTACTAATACCATCCTTTTTCTTTCTTTCCTCTCTTATTCCCTGTTGTCGTCCTTTATCAGACCAGTCTTTTGTGGACTCTAGCAAGTACTCCACTGCAGGGTCTCTCCAGGGGCTGGCCTTCTCCTGAAGTACGTCACTCAATCTTCCCTTCCTTTTTTTCCTTTGTCATAGTACACTTGTGCAGAAATCCTACTGAGAGGAAACAGACCGTTACAGAGCTTGGCACAAACCTTTGCCTTTCATAAATAGAAGACACATTACAAACTAACAGCAGCATTTTCCAGTTTAACTCACACCAGGGCAAACATTAGTTTTTACTGATTAATGTACTCCTGTGCCAATTAATGCCATAAATGTCGCAGGGCCCTTTTGAAAGCCTCTTCAGTTGTTGGTATTGGGAGGCTGCTCCTTTTCTTCATCCCTTCCCCTCTCATTACAAAGTACTCCAGCGTTAGCACCTAAATACATTTTTGAAGCCTTGATGCAAGGCGAGGGAGTGACAGACAAAAGCTTGTCAACCTGAGGATGCTGCATAGACCGGCACTGCCCATTTCATTGTTTGCTTCAGCCTGTTTTACAACACTGTGCCTAAACCTTCCTGTGTAATTACCTCACTGCACATTAGTGTGCTGGGAGAGACATTTTCATGCTCGCTTAGGCCGAGGAGTTTCTCCAAGCAGATGCAGCCAGCTGCCTCCAGCTGTGCCAGAGGTGGGAAGGGTTTTGCGGTATGTGCTGTGCTTCCCTCAGACCTGAGGTCTGTTTTCCTTCCCATGTGTCTGTGCAAATTATCCAAAGAGCATTGAGCAGGGAATAAAATCCGTCACTTTTAAAGCCGTGTTCGGAAGGAGCTGTGCAGAGCCTGGGGAGGATAGTTCCACGGATTTCGCATGTCACTCTACGGCCTCTGGAAAGAGAAACGCTGGGCTTGCGGGCCTAATGTTGATAGCATCATTAACAGCCCCAAAAAATCTATATGCAGGCAGAGTGGAAGGAATTCATTCATAAAAGCTGGGATCTATTGTGACTGAGAAGGAAAGCATTGTCCTTAGTGAACTGGGAGGAATCCTTGCAGATGTACACACATGCACGCAAAAATTGTGGAAATACTAGGAATGCTTAAGCAGAACTGGGGTACCTTTGGTCAGGACTTTTATATAAATACAGGAATAAAACACACCAAAATTTTCAGCTGTAGTATTTAGGAGATTTAATTTTTGTGCGCTTTAAAAATTTGGCACTGCCAATGTGCTACAAATTTTAAAGGCAACAGCTAAAGAAGTTTCACCTCCACATTAAAAAATAAAAAGGAGCTAAGAGTTAACTACTAGAAGCTTTTGAACATGATAATGTGGGGTTTTTTTTCCTTTTTCTTTTCACCTTGTCCAAACTTGCTGTTGCGGGTGGAGAGAAAAAGCGAGTAACGGGAGAAACCTTTTTCAGGAGCTGTTTTTCCTTTCATGAGACACGGAATTCCCAGATTCCACGTACTCGGTTATGAAAAGCAATTATGGAACAAGCTGAGAACCCCCGACACAACTGGGGCTTGCTGATTGCCTCCTCATTATGTCACATCCAGATCTGTAATGCCCAGAAACCACACAGATCTGAGTGTTTCCCCTAATTTTTATTTAGCAATTCTGTTTTCATAATAGGAATGAGACACCAAGAGATGGTTCATTTCTAGGTCATCACTGAACTTCTTGGTGAGTTAAAGACACACAGCCTTTAGTCCCATGCCTTCTGACACCACCTGAGGCTTGTAATAATCACTCAGAAATGCACTGCCTGTTGTGCCTTATTGCTTAAATAAACAACCATGTATAAGGAGGCTGTCTTATCTCTCTTGGGCTTCTGGATACATCAGAAAGCAATCAAGCTTTCCTTATGTAGCTTAGATATCAGCAGAACTCACTAAAACAACAGCGAGGCTTATCTGTTGTTCTCTTTGCCATGCAATTTTGTAAAACTCAAAATACATTATTTCTGTAATTTGCTGGCAGCAAATACAAATTAGTATATGATAGAAGAAATAATGCCCGTTGGGGGGAGTTTTTCTGCTCCTCTGCCCTCCCTTTTTGGAGGTGGTGTGATCTCATACCTACACTGTTTCCCACTGATATCTCTGTTTTCAGGATCAATAACATGCTACAGCTGAGAGAATTTGCATGACTAGATGTAGCACTTACAGAATAAAAGTAGAGTAATATAAATGAAGACTTGGAAAGAATGGAAATATCAAAGCTTTTAGGCAGAAAAGATATCATTTTGCTATTTGCCTTGTAATTTAATTCAGAATTTCAGAGCTCTTCAGAAACAATAATGCTTTAAAAAATGAGCTAAGATCTGCATCTGTACCATTTGTTTCCAATGGCAAAAGCTGCATGGCTGATATGTAACTACAAGGAAATGTCTAAGTGAGGAAGGGAGGAGTTGCAATTATGTCACCTTTGTCTGGGCTCTTACCCAGGGTAGACAGCTGTGCTGTCTCAAGAGAGAGACAGTTGTTGACCACTTTTTGGTGCAAATGATTTGGTTTTGATGCATCTTTTAGCTTGAGAATTTTTTGTTTGCATAATGTTTTGACATTTTCTGAGGTTTAGGTAATTTTTCTAAAGAAAAGCAACACTGTTTTAAAGTTTCACTAAATTTAGAATTTAGAAAGGGCTGAAAAGGGCAACAAAGGTTGTAGTATGCACAGGGGGTTAATTATCCACCGGACTCTGCTCAGTTGCACCCATCACATATAGGAAGACCCAGTCCCATCTGCTCAACTCCTTGCTTATCTAGCTGAGCAGTAAAGGAGGGAGCACGGTGGCCAGTAATTGCTTTTCTCTGCACTGTAACACACAGCACTGATGTCCAAGCACTGCAGTCCCACTCCTACATTCCCCTAAACAACTGCCACCCAGAAATCTCGAAGTGCGTTACTAATAGGAATAGAACTTGTTATCCTCAGGTCAGAAACAGAAACAAATCCAATTGCTTGATGTAATACAGGCTAGAAGGAGAACTGGGGCAGAACCTGTCTCTCAGGTCCATGCTCATACATTCAGATAGGGAAATTTGCACCCTCCCCCTTCGGTGCAGGTGAGAGTCCCTTGTAGGGCTGCCACAGCAAAATTACAGCCAGTTGACAGTATCCATTACTGTTAATGCCTATTTTATTGACGCCATAGAGGTCTGTGATTCAGGGTCCATACTTTGGCCCACATATAGGGATCCCCAAGAGCAGAGTAGGGAGCAACCACAACAGTGAGAATATTGCCTGGCTTGGGTTTGCTTCATTTTCAGTCATGTGTACCAAGGGGACAGGCCAATTGTGAGGATTCAGAACTTGTTATTTGAGACATTGCTGAAATAAAACCCTTTGAGAATTCTTTTAAACGAAGCTGCTGTTGTTTCACCCAGGGTTGATTAAATAAGCCAGAATTCTAAAAAGATGGCAATATCAAGTTCATCCTATGATTTGAGATGAAGGAGACAGCATGGCTATGGAGATAATGTGAAAATGCATCCTCAGATTATCTCCATGGTGGAGCCAAAAAAGCCCATGACAGGAAATACCTCAGCAAGGAACATCTAAGACACAGTAGTGTCCTCTGTGCTATTCACTTGAGTGTCTTCCTGTAGGGCTTAGGGCAGCTCAACTCAGCTCTCTATCCCTTTTATCCTCATTCTCTGCTCCTTGAAGAGCCCTTGTGTGGAGCGGAAACAATCAGTACAGTGATTCCACATAAAACCATTGCTGAATGATAAATTCCAAGAATCAAAATGCTGCTGTGTAGTTGCAACATGTCTCGTCTGAGGATGGCCTGTTGCAAACATGTGGATGTGTTTTGTATTCTCGCCTTCTCCTCTCATTTTATTTCATTTAATCAGTGCAGTTTACTCGAGCTGTTCTCCCCTTGCTGATTAGACTTGTAATTCTTGCACATATGGTGGTGTTTGTGGAGAAAACATTTCCCTCCTCTCCCCCTCCAACCCCAAATCTGTGAGTCTTTTACTTTGGCTCTGTTCTTATCAAATAATTGCAGCTGTAATTAAAGCACAATGAATCAGCACCAGTCACAGGGTTGAGTTCTTCCTTAAGAAATTACATGTCCAGATGTCTGAGATGGCAGGCAGTTCTAGCAGTTAAATAATGTGCCCATGAAGTGCCGCCAACCTAAAGGCGAATCTGTTTTCTACCTTTTGGCAAATAACCGTACAACTGGCATTTTAAAGAGGCATTGTTGTTACAGTTTTCATCATAAACTTGCATGACTACCTTCTGTTATGATGTCCTTGCTCACAGTATGTCACTTGGACACTTGGCTTGGTATGTCTGATCTACATAGAGTCTGAGGTGGAGGTCAAACTAGGTGGAAGACCGTAACTGTTGACTTTTAATTAGTGTCTCCTCTTTAAGAGAGGTGGTGGTTTCATAGAAAATGAGGTTAGCAAGCATAATAAAGAAATACTGATGATTCAACTTGGCCAACAAAAGAGAAGACATTCTAAATTAACATTAAACACGACTTGATGTAGTCAATGGTGTCTGCTACAAGTTTAATAAAACCATGAAACACTGTTCTGCTAAACATATTTCAATTTGAAAATTAGCTTTGAGATTTTAAGTCCTTTTCTGAGCACTTGGAAATACATACATAAGTCCCAGAGTTGAACAGTGAGCTTGTAAGAGAAAACTGGGATAGGAGAATGAGCCACTCTTAGTGTGCTTGATGCAAGGAACACCCTATGGGGTCTATAATATTGGTGGCCTGTGGGACTCCAGCCATTTTCTCATATGTGGGGCAAGTATCTGCTTTGCTTTTTTAAGAAAGTAATAGAATGTGTGGCAATGGCTGGGTCAGGTTTAAGCCTCCTGAGCATTTTAAGATTTTCAAACTAAAATCAGAAAATTAAGTTGAGGTCTGATTCTTATATCACGGGAAGTGCACTTTTTCTGCAAGAAAAATCACTGATTTCAGCAGAGTCACTTGCAATTTAAACCACTTTCCAATTAGAATGAGGCTTCCTGTGATTACTGTGTACATGGTTGTTTCTACCGGAGGATACTTATATATAAATGTAATTCACAGTATAGCTGAGTACATTACTAGTAAATGTTTAAAAGTTCTAAGGATTTTAAAAGTTGCTTGATAATGCACAAAAGTAACTTTTTCCCCCTTTCTCTCTCTCTCTCCCTCCCCCCATTTCCCCTTTCCTTCTGACAGCTATATCTGGCATGATTGTTCCCCCCATGTGAAAGAATTGCCTTGAAGAATTTTATTAATGAAGAGGTTGAATTCTGCTTCAGAGAGAATCTGATACAAGTCCCAGAGTGGAACTTTTTACTCAGGCCTTTTTAAAAATAAAAAAGAAATAAAGAATCATCTTACAATAACTGCGGATTTTTAAACAAAACAAAAATCACCATCCTTGCAAATACTGAAATTATCAATCTACAATTGCAAGGTGTTGATTCAAGTTGTCCATCCCAAATACCTGGGAGATATATTTATTGTATGTTGATAAAAAAGAATCCACTTTTCTTTTTTTTTTTTTTTTTTTTTTTCTGGGGTGGGGGGTTCTTGTGTGACCTCACAGAAGATTTTTTCGAAAGTAGAAAATGTCATTGTCAACTACCTTTACAACTTAAGTCCATTTTTAGGGATATATTTATTTTATGTTGATAAAAAAGAATCCCCTTTTTTTTTTTTTTTTTTTTTTTTGCAGGGGTGGGGGCTTGCTTTTAGTTCCTTCTGTTTTTTGTGTTTTTTTAAGGCTTGATTTAACTCAACACCATTTGTCTTTTATAAATCATACAGTTACACACGGGACACTAGAGATGGAATTCCACATTTTTAATTTATGATTTATTTTTTTTAAGTTGTGTAAAGAAAAATGAAGTGGTGTCATTTACATGCAAGTCTGTATGGGACAGAATAGAAGTGCCAGTTAGTTTTTCGTAGAAGAATTATGGCCATTTAATTAAGGGTCGGCTCATACAGGTTGCTTATCCAGTGGTGACTTGCTAATATGATGCATTTTTAATGTTCTAATTAAATAAGATATCACTCCCTAGAAAGCTGATATTTTTGGATGATGAGGGCAGGATGAAGGGTGGGCTTAGTAACCTCTGTCTTTAATATCAGGCTAAAGGATTGTGTAAATAATGCAACAAGAAGAGTTGGTAAAAGGGAAGGTAAGGATGCAAATAACAAACGTGTTTCCTCTTGAGCTGAAAATCCAGTGCCTCTCGATATGATGCTAAAACTGCAGAATTAGGTGAGCATGGCTCTCTCTTTAGCTTATATCAGAGTCTTTCCAAATGAGTGGCCTTCCTGAAATTTAGTGTCACCTGAGCTGTGGACGAAATGCCATTTGGATTTTGCAGAGCTGTCTAACGACCCCGACTGAGGCCATCACCCCTGGGGTGTTTCAAATGAGCCCCTCTCCCCTGGACCGATTTGTTTCTATGGGGCAGAATGAGCCCAGACTCGCCTGCAGGTTCTGCATCCTCGCAAAAATCTAAAAGCACACGTTTTTGTCTGCCTCCCACTCGGATCGTGCCTGTATCAGTCGACCCTCTCAGTTTGTATCATAATATATTAAGCAACAGGTAACTGCTTTTGAATAGTAAATGGAAACATGAGTTTGGGGGGTGGGTGGTGGGGCTGTTAGGAAGGTTTCAAATCAAAACCATAGCTTCTGTTTTACAAAAATTTTGCTATCATTATCTGGGAAGTGTTCTTAAAAACTATTAGTCAAAGAAGCAGCAAAGCTCTGAAGATGCATTACCTGATATTTTTTCTTTGCTGTTGTGTTTTGTATGTAGTTATAAATACTGTAGATTTTTTGTGATTTTTTGCCAAAGTTGTTGTTCTATTTATACATTTTAATGTCTTAAGACAGTTTTTCAATATCACAAAAAAAGAATTTTACTGCATATTTTGCAAAAAGAGCTCACTACCTTTAGCTTGCACATACTTGCAAAATTAATTAAAGAAAAAAAAAGCTTTTTGTTTCTGTTTTTTGTTTGTTTGTTTTAAGGGGGATTTTGTAAAATATCCATATAAATAATGTATTTATCTTTGGAATTTGTACATTGCTTTTTTTTCCCCCTACCAAGTTTATTTTATTGTGTATGTTTGCTATGTGAAAAGTGCTGATTTGTTTGGTCATTCACCGTTGTATTAGCTGTTTAAATGTGATTTTAAAACATTTCATTTATAGTTTTTTTTTTTAGTATTGTTTAAAACCATGCTTCCATTTTTTTTAATTTCCACCCAAAAGCCATTGTCTATTTTTGTATTATTTGTAAGTTAAGAAGTTTTTTCCAATATATGGCAAAAAGTAGCATATTATTCTTGTAGCATTTAGTTATGTAGATTTTAAAAAAAATGTATCCTTTGCTTTTGAGGCTTAACAAAAACTAATGCTGTTTTAATCTATTAATATGCATGGGATTTCTCCTCTTTGGAGTGACGCATTTTTGTGCATTAAATATGGGGAGAAACTTCATAGGACTCAATGAAAATACTTTCTTTCTTAAGTCTGCTTGTATATTTCTCTGTCTTTCACATAAATATAAACCAGCAGATTGGATGCCTTAACAATGCAAATCATATTCATTTCACTTGTACATTGTACTGTGCACCAGAACTGTCAATCATCACTAACATTCTAAGAAAAAAAAAAAAAAGGAATTGAAAAGCACAAAAGAACTGTTTTGTTACCTTAAAACAATATAACTTTTTTCTAGTCGAGCAAGAAATCATTTACAACGATGCTGCAACTGTGCATGCTTCCTGTATGAATTTTGCAATGGTTTTCACTAGAATGTCACAGTGTGATCTTTGGGGGGAAGGGAAGAAAACAGGATATTATTTTTTTTTTTTCATGGTGAGAAAATAAAAGAAGAAAAAACTGGAAAATGTGAGAGACATCAGTTTATTGCTTCTCTGTATTCCAAGTGATTATTCTAATTCACATAGTAAGCAACAGCACGACAATGTAATCAAATTTAAAGCCATATTTTGTCCAGTAACACCATCAATTACTCTTGTAGAGCTCCACTCAAAGTCATAGTGATTTTGACACCAGTGTTAGCCATCGATGTTTGTAGTCTTCTACGCCAGTGTCCAAAGATCCTCTGACAATGTGCATAAGTTTGTTTTGTTGCAGCTATTTATAGTGATCTGATGAATGGGAATTTGTAAAAATCTCCCCGCCACCACCCTTATCTTTTACAAAGTAAAAGATGCAGCTGTTTACAGAATATGGCTTTAAGTGGAAACATTCAGATTTCAATTTTAACAAGGTGAAGCTTCACAATGACTGGATTGCATAAAGTATGCCTATTTCCTCACAGTTGTACTAGGATGCAGCTAAAATGAAGTCATCTCTGAAACTACTAACCTTTCACCTTCTTATCTAAATCTTTTTGAATAGACACACACACTGTACAGTTCTATTGTTAGAGAAACTAACTACTGTAGAGATTGTTATAATTTTTTTGCAGAAATTCAAGCTGTAAAAACTTTTCAACTTTCACAATATTTAATTAAAGTTACTTCCTGTCTGTGAATACAGCTCCTAGTTGCGTGTTTATTTTTCTGCTTCCGCAAGCTAGTAGATGAGAAAAAATAAAATATAGAAGCCAGAGGCTACTGAATTGTCTTTTGAAAATTAAGGAGAAGCAGAAATTCATGGAATTACACAGTGAAATGTGGCAAATGCTGGTGCACTGAAACTCCTCTTCCTCTGTCACTAATGGATTTCAAAGGATCCTCCCTCATAATGCTGAATGTTCATTCTGTTACTGTTATTCTTATTACTTCCATAGTTTAAATCTATTGATTACCTGAAGAGTCAATGTATTTTGCTAGTGGATTTCGGGAGCACATCTCGCTTTAGGTACCCAGCTACAAAGAGCTGCCTCTCTAAACACAATGATCATGAAGTGCAAGACAAAGGCATATTAGATCCAGTGCCAGAGATCCAGGGAGATTTAAGTTTTCGTCTTGGTATAATTTAAGTCAATGGCAACACTTCAGGACCAGGTCTTAAGTGACCTGCTCAAGGCCAGCGCCAAGAACTCCATCCAAGTATGCTGAGCTGTAACGAACTCCTTGACTTGACCATGGAGGAGGCTCCTGTAAAATGTTTCCATTCTGCTACCTCTCTGAAATGACAAATCCATCAGCTGCTAAATTGGTTCCATTTTATTCTGGACTTCTCTGGCAGGAGAGGACCATAAGGAGCTTTACCTCTGGCATGTGGAAGGTTGCCATAATGGCATTTAACAGAGACCTGTATGGGGAAAATCAAAAACCTTTACACCTAATGCAAGGCTCCAAGCATTTCCAAGGTAGGATTAGGGACACTGGGGTTGCAGTTTAAATTAAATTTAAAATTACTTAAAAAAAATAATTTCGCTAAAAAACATAAGCAGCTGGAAGTGACTTCTTGCAATGTAAAATGTTGGATATCTCTTAAATGTGAGCAGATCCACTCAGGTAGCTGTTAGAGCAAAGAGCTGTTGGCAAAGTCAGACTCCCAAATGTGTTTACTCTGTCAGCACAAGAGATGTGTTTCTTTTGTCTGAGATAACTCTCCTGGTTCTCTTTCAAATGGTGTGACTACTGGCAGCTCTCACTGCAGCCGAGGGCTCTGTGAATGCTCCCCTCACTAGAAAGATGTTGGGTCACATGTAGCTGAAAAGCAGTCTTAAAGATGAAATTCAGGATATAACATTAGGCAACCCATTCTGGGTGCAGCAGAACCGAAGCTCTGCTTCAGCCTTTTGGATACAATGAGAATGGTTTTGTCTGAAACTTAATTTCAGCCACATTAAAAATAAAAGGGGGCGGGGGGGTGAGGGAGGTGAGATAGCATGAACCATCAGGCTTCTAGTTCAGCAGGATGCTGAAGGAGAGTCTGCTGGTCAGTCTCAATGGTGATCACCTGACAATCCAGATTGAGATCACCTGGGTGGCTGGGCTGTAATAGATGATGAATTGCTTTTTGATGCCAGGAGAAAACCCTCCAAAGCCCAAACCATGTGAGGACCACCTGCAAGGTGCACATTCAGGTACGGCTGCAGTGAGACATACCCCACAATGGGTCATACGCTGGAAAAGAGAGGAATATCCTCTGTCATTACACAAAGAACACATAGCATGGGGGCTTAGGGCAGGGTGTATAACGGTGTGACTTACTGCTGCCTTCTAAACTGGTGGCTTCTTTAATTTTTCAGCACCTATAGTAGTCATTTTGACTGAACACTTTGCATCTGGCAGCGGGATTGGTTGTATTTTTGTATGGGCATGCCTCTAATTTCTTATTTAATTTAAAGAAACCTCAGCAAAAAGAGCTACCTTCACTGTTAGTTTCCTGACCTTGTCTGTGTGTCTGCTCATTCCCTGTAAGGTCTGTCTCTGCAGACTCTTGCTACAGCAGCTTCCTGTAGTCGTGTACATAACCCTGCTTAGCATCACAGCCCATGTATCTTCTGCCATTCATGGATTAGCTGAAGACACATTTCGTGTCATGTGCTTC